TGCCACGGTTGATTAATACGAGCGGCGAGCGACCATCGGCTGTTATGGCGGTCCACACCATCACAATGGCCGGCGCTTGAGTTCTGGAGGCCAACCGAAGGTGCACATTTTCAGCTGACCTCTTTTGCAAGAAAACACGATCATTTTGTTTGTTTACAAACTGCTGGACAACGAATGTTTTCTCATCGGAGAAAACCTAATTCGGCAGTTCACCACTTTCGGCCCAGCGAAGCAACTCTTTAGCTCTTTTGAGTCTATTTTCTTTCTGTTGCGGTGTAAGTTCCTGCACTTTTTGAAATTTTAATGGGGTAATGCTCATTTTTCAATATTTGCCGAATGGAATATTGCGATATGTTCAGCTCACGAGCCATTTATCTGTCACTGCGTTACGGGTTTCGATCAAGTCGCTTCTTTAATTTTCGAACCAATTCTGCTGATGTTGCTGTTTTCTTCCGTCCACTCCCTTGATGTCGGTTATGCTACCAGTATCACGGTAACGAGCGATGGTACGAGACACTAAATATTTATTAACATTTAAATGCTGGAGTGCTCTAACGATAGCCACTTGTGGTTTTCTAGCCAAATATAAAGAAATCAAACTATCACGCTTGAATTCCATCACGAATAACTTTTTTTCTGTAATGTAATTGTAATGAGCTGTCTCTGAAATATTTTAGACGGCTATAGGGCGAGAGGCTTTGAAATGACAGCTGTCTGAAGTTGGTTGCAGTTTTTTCATCTCACCCTGTATATATATGGAGATCGGTTCAGATTTGTGTACAGCTCCCATACATATTTTTTTATCCGATTTTACGGTTTTGTGCAAAAAATATTAATATCAGCTCAAATATTTTGGATTTGGTGAAAATTGGATCAGATATAGCTCCGAAATAGATGTTTTAATTTAAGCGTTCTCCAAATGCATTAAGTGAAAAATCCCACATATTAGTTATTTTTGTTTTCAAATTATAACAGATCTAAATCTAATACGCATCCAATAATGATTATTTTTCGTATGATCTACTTCACATAAATTCCCAATATAAACGTTTATATGTTACGGGTAGCTATACTAAATATAGTGGTGTGAGGTATCATAAAGTCGGCCACGCCCGATTTTCGATCTTCCTTTACTGGTTTTAGTAAATCATAATACACTTAATACCTTGTTATTTATTTATTGGTGTTACTATTTACAATTAAAAGAAATGTTGTAGCTATTAATTACAAACACTTTTCGAAATAAATAAATAAATCACATTGTTCGACTACCGAACCATAAAATTAAAACCTGACAGTCGGTACAACATAATGTGCTGGCCTACCTAGACGACAAAATGCCGATCACGTCTCGGCTACACACGTATTTCGGAATGTTAATTGTAAATTCATTCGCTATTTGGAGTATTATTTCCAGTTATGCTTCGGTATGTGTGTTTGTTTTGTTAACTATTCGAATCATCATCTTCTTTCCCTTCTTTCTGATGACGACATAAACAATTACAATTTCGTCAAGTATTACGAAATTCAAGAACGTCGAAAGTCAAGGACGAAGTAACATTAATTTGTATGAAGGGTAAGGCATTGAACACACGAAGTGTACTACGACAATGTATCGGTACAGTTAAGAGACACAGAACGTGAACTGGAAATTGAAACGAGTTAAGGTGGTGGTATTTAGAGGGTTATGATTTTATTCACTTTGTCAAGGATAACTTTAGAGGGCTTTATGTTTTTAAATTGCGTCTTAATTTAAAACTGCTGTTTTTTTTATCCAATTCCAATTTAATTCTACCGAAAAGGTTGTAACACCACAAAATAATGGTTCTAAGACCCACCAACACAAAAAAACGAAGAACTTTGAATTTTGTATTTTACAATAGTTTAAAAACACTTATTCCAAAAAAATTTATTTTTTACTTTTAAATTTAAATTTGATTAATTTTTCAATTAGTCTCCGTCTTGGTGATTTCAACCCCTCTGTGCGGCGTATAGTATTTAACTTGTTCTGTCAATAAAGAATTAAAGTACCGCTTTCTACATTATGTAGTGGTCTTTCGTATATCTGGCAAGAACTGAGCTTACAACAGTCCCTGGCTGGGCCGTATGCAGGATGGCGGTTATGGCTACCCCTAAAATGGCTTCTTTTCTGTCATTATGCCCCCAGCCATATGGCTAGAGATAGTATGCATCATTTGATACGGCTAAAACGTGCCCTATCGAAATAATGGGTTAGACCTTAGGTCTCTTTGGACCAAATCCGTTTCAGGGCATTTTGAGTTGATTTAGTGATGACCGTCCTTAAGTCCGTCTGTCTGTCTGCTGGCTGGTGTGCACGATAACTCTCGAAAGGAGTATCCGATTTGGTCCAAACTTGGTACATCGTAATATTATTATAAAACTTAGATTGAGTTCGGATATGGGCAATATCGGTCCACTTCTTCTGCTACCTATTCCACAAAAAGTCACATTTTCAAAATGTTCTTTACTGAGGATAGAGTGAGGATAAGTGGATTTTACTTTACAACTTTGCAAATCTTAATATTTGCATCGGTGCTAGGTCAGGTGCGAAAATGGACAATATCGGCCTACTCCATGAAGTACCTCCCCCACAAAGGGTAAAACATCTTCAATAATTATATCTCCAATAAAGTGTGATGTAAGAGTCTGGTTGTCTTCAAATTATATTCTTATTAACCCAAAGTCCGGTGTGAACATGGAATGTATCGGTCCACTCCTTCTGGGACCTCCCCCACAATGTGTCAAAATGTTGATTATACATGAAACTCATAAAACGGAATTTAACATCCGATTCCATTCAGACTTGACACATCTTAATATTACTATTAACGCGAGATTTGTTGTAAAGAGATCTGTAGAGATTAGACCATTCCTTCTGGTTCCTCCCCCATAAAGGGGCAAAGTTTTGAATGACCAAAACGATCATAAAATCGGAAATAAGCATCCGGTACTCTTCATATTTCACACATCCCATTATTTCTACTAACACAAGATCTGCTGTGAAGATGGGATGTATCGGTTCACTACTTTTAGTACCTTCCCCACAAAGGGTCAAAATTTGGAATATTCATGAACCTCCTAAAACCCGAAATTAATATCCAATTCCATGCAGACTTGGTACATCTCCATATTTCTATCAACACAATATCTGTTACAAATATGAAAGATATCGGCTCACTCCTTCTGGTACATCCCACACGAAGGGTCAACATTTGGATAATTAAAAATATTGGTATCGAATTCAGCATCCAATTCTCTTCAAATTTCACACATTCCAATATTTCTCATAAAACGCGAAATTAACATCCGATTACATTCAGACTGTACCAAGTCTCAATATTTTCATTAACATAAGATCTGTTATAATGATGGTAGCGATCGGACCATTTCTTCTGGTACCTCCCCCACAAAGGGTCAAAATTTGGAATATTCATGAAGCTCATAAAACGCGAAATTAATATCCGATGCCTTTCAAACTTGACACATCTCAATATTTCTATCAACACAATATCTGTTACAAATATGAAAGATATCGGCTCACTCCTACATCCCACATAAAGGGTCAACATTTTGGATAATTAAAACTATTGGTATCGAATTCAGCATCCAATTCTCTTCAAATTTCAAACATTCCAATATTTCTCATAAAACGCGAAATTAACATCCGATTACATTCAGACTGTACCAAGTCTCAATATTTCAATTAACACAAGATCTGTTATAAAGACGGTAGAGATCGGACCATTTCTTATGGTACCTTCCCCACAGAGGGTTCATGATTTTTGAAAAAAAAAGAAACGCTTAAAGATAGCGAAATAAGCATAAAAATCTCTTCAAATTTCACACATACATACATTTGTGCTTACACAAGATCTGTTGTACCTTCTGGTACCTCACCAACAAAGGGTCACAATTTTTTTCAATACTTTTATCTGTCATAATTTGCGAAACAAGTCAGCGATTCTTTACAACTTGCTACATCTAAATATACCTCTTTTTGCCAGAAATCTCAGATGGATATGGAATTTATGATTTCGCATAAAATTGGATATAACTGTTCGATTTTCTTGTAATTTTGCCTATACTAATATTTTAATTTGTATTAGATGAAGTATGAAAATGGAATTCTTCGATCGACTACATCTGGTACATTACGCATTTCACATATTTCATATAAAGTGAAGAACAATATTGGCCCATTCATTCGGAACCTACACCATAGTCGGTCAACAATTAGAATAATCATAACAGAAGTTAAAATATACATAAATAATCGAACATTGGCTGAAGGTATACATCAGTCCGCGAAACTTACTGATACCTTTTAACTGTTTTTTTCTATATTTGATACTGAAAATTCACAGCTGATCTAGATACAACTATCAGAGCATAGGACAAATATATTTCCAAGATTTTGTATAAAATCCCATTTTAGAACTCTCAATTTGATACACAAATTTTAAACTAATACACACACGCCATATTTTGAAAACTACCGATCGATTAACATTTCAGGAGTACAACTGACAGAATTCCAAAAATACTTGTACTCAGTACGAACATTGTTTAGTGTCACTGAAAACATTTGTTTGAGTAATTTTAAACATGGATGGGTGATATAAACAGACAGCAGACTTAATGTCGAAAACGAAACATAAAACTAATTACAAATTCCTTCCACACACATGCACGGCAGTTGCCTAAACTAGCATTTTTTTTTTTTCATTTAATAATTAAGAAGTTAAGTATGTTTATGGAATTTTTCGTCTGCCTTCTGAAGGCAAATTCAACTAAAACCAAATTTCAAGAACACCCTAAAGCGACATTGAAAATATGACATTCAGTCTGTCAAAGTCTTTTATCAATTAGTGAAGCATTTTTTGGTGGAAATATAAATTTGAGCTTCCACAACGCCCAGATTATCAGTTATCAATTTGTTGAGCTAGAAATCGACACAAAAATTTCCTAACTTTTCCACCATGTTCAAATTTGTAAGTTTGTCATATCAGAAGTTAAAATAAGGACTTTTTTAATAAAATAATAATATCCCTGCAGGCCGTTGTCGTCTTTGCCGTTATTGCTTGTGCTGCTGCCAAGCCTGGTTTGATTGGTGCTCCCTTGGCCTACACTGCCCCAGCTGCTGTTGTCGCTGCCGCTCCAGCTCCTGTCGTCACTGCCACCAGTAGCCAATATGTTGCCCGTAACTACAATGGTATTGCCACCGCTCCAGTTGTTGCTCCCGTTGCCACCCCCGTGGTAGCCAAAACTGTTGCTGCTCCTCTCGTTGCCAAGACTTTTGCTGCCCCTGTCGCTGCCGCCTATGCCGCTCCATTGGCTTACAGCGCTCCCTTGACTTATGCCGCAGCTCCTGCCCCAGTTTTGTTGTAAATGACATGGATTATCTCACTGAAAATGGCTAATTTGAATTTGAACAATAAACAACAAAAAATAATTTATTAAAAGAAAAATAGAACAGTGTTGCTTGTTTGTTCGGGATACCGTAGTATTTTGTTGTTGCAAAATGGTCAGGCTTTATCCCTTTATTGTTGTTTTTATAAAAACAACGTTTGTTTATTAAAGAAAAATGTTTCTTTTAGGGTCTAGTACCAATTACTTTCCTGTTAGTTTCTAATTTAAATTAATATGTATTCTAGATAAACCCTCAAAAAAAAAGAGTTTTATCGAGATCGGTCCAGATTTTTATATAACTTCCATATACATCTTCATCCGATTTTACCAATTAGTGGACCTGAGTCGAATATTTTTTGCAGGGAGAGAAAAGATCTACCAAGAACACAAAATGTAAAGTTTCAGCCAATTTGGTTGGAGATTGTGGCAGAAACCTTCAAAATACCGAAAATCTAAAGGTACCGTTATATGGGGGCTATACCAATTATTGGACTTGAATCGAACATTTCCTACTAGGAGAGAAAAGACCTACCGAGAACTCCAATTGTCAAGGTTCATCTAATTTAGTTGGAAATTATGACAGAAACCTTCAAAATTCTATTTCCGACATTTTTAGCTTTCATTCAATAAAATTTAAAAAAAGTAAAATTCATGGCGTTTGACTTTGTTGCAGTTTTTTTTATTTAACCCTCTATTACAAACTTCAAACATGTATGTTGAAAAATGTATTATTTTTGTTATATGAAGACTACACTTGTATAGGCAATTTTCTGTCATAGAATGTACGAACTCCAAATAGCAAATTTGAAACAATACCAGTTATAAGTGTGACACAAATCATCAAAATACCGTATATATGGAGGAAAATAACAAAAGTTGGACCTATGTGGGCAGTTCTATGCAATAATGTTTCCTACATACTGTGAACACAAATTGCAAATTTTACAGCAAATGGAGGTTAAAATTGTGACTGAAACAACCGAAAGAACATAAATCTTCAGGTACATTTATATGGACGCTGAACCCAAACGTGGACGTATATAACCCATTTCAATACCAAAAGCCTTCAGACATACATCTGAGTAAAATTTCATTTCTTTCGGAAGCTAGAAATCGCTAAATCGACATAGAATTTAATGCTGATTAAAAATATATATACTTTGTGGGGTCTAACATTTATATTTCGAGGTTCTACACACTGAATGGCAAAATTGATGTATAGTGGAGGGCTTAAAATTAGTCGTTCTATTTATACCTCACAACACTGTATGTTGATTGAGCCAATAATTATGTAACACCTCGAAATATTGGTTCAAGACATAGGAAACTTCTTGGATCTGGACAGAAGCCTACTAATTCGGATGGTCATCGAATAATCTTTAGCGGTTGAAATAGACCATAAGTTTTATATAAAAATATGAACATTTCCATTAAACAGAGAATATTTTAAATTCCATCGAAATCAAAAAACACCAAATGGTCTCTTCTGACCATTAAATTGACACTGATATCCAAGAAGTATACGTTATTGAACTGGTTATAACTTAAGAACGGCTGGACGGATTTTGACAATTCTAACCTATTATATGCCGAATATTTCGCCAAAGGAGCTAGAACCCATTATGACCAACAAATACCAATTTTCAGACAAATCCGTGAAGAAATGTGGCAAAAATCATCAAATTACCGAATATCGGGAGGTACAGTTATATGGGGGCTATACCAAAACGTGGACCTATAATTACAATGACTCGCCACACGAACTGGGACCCATTATGACCCACAAATACCAATTTTTAGAGAAATTGTCAAAAATCATCAAAATACCGAATATTGGGAGGTACCGTTATATGGGGACTATATCAAAACGTGGACCTATATATACAATGTTTCGCCACACGAACTAGGACCCATTATGACCCACAAATACCAATTTTTAGACAAATCAGTGAAAAAATGTGGCAGAAACCATCAAAATACCGAATATCGGGAGGTACCGTTATATGGGGGCTATACCAAATCATGGACCCACACATGCATTGTTTCGCCACCGGAGCTGGAACCCATTATGACCAAAAAATACCAATTTTTAGACAAATCCGTGAAAAAATGTGGGAAAAAATTAAAATACCGAATATTGGGAGGTACCTTTATATGGGGGCTATACTAAAATGTGGACCTATACATGCAATGTTTTGCCACACGCACAGGGACCCGTTATGACCTACAAATACCAATTTTCAGACGGATCCGTGATAAAATGTGGCATAAATCATCAAAATACCGAATATTTGAGAGGTACCGTTATATGGGGACTATACCAAAACGTGGACCGATATATCTCATTTTCAATACCATCCATCCTAGACACAACACAAATTGCTCTGCTAAATTTTTGGCGCTCTACGTCAAATAATGTGGGCTGTATCGTGATTTCAACAGACAGACGGACAGACAGACGGACGTCGTTAAATCGATTTAGAATTTTATGCTGGTTATGAATATATACTTTATGGGGTCTACGAAGAATATTTAAGGATGTTACAAACGGAATTACAATGTTAATATACCCTCCTTTCCAAGATGGAGGGTATAAAAATAAAATCTAAAAAAAATCGCATAAAAAGATGCTAATAAAAATTTGAATATTTTCCATTAATATTTTACGTAATTTTTTATTTTTATTATTTGTTCAATTTGACTTACAACATTGAATTGAATTAAAACATTTTGTAAAAATTGTTTACCTTACAACCTATGTATTGGGTGTATTATATTTCGGTTACAATTATCATTCAATTAGCATTTTCGATGGCCATCAGAAATATTTAACTGGTGAAAGAGCGAATTATGTGTTTGGTTTTTTAGGCATCGTATGATTTTGGAAAATATTGGTTCAAAATCTATAATCATTATTGCAAAAGAGGAGAAAATAAGTCGAACATTTAACTTTATTTTGTAGTAGATATGGGATGCTTTTAAGGTGAATCATTATTCTAATCAAAAGGATTTTAGGTCTGCAGAGACTTCACTGCAAACTGTGTATCAAATTTTCGGCCTAGACTATAGCTTACTTGTTTTAGAATACTATATTTGATTTTTTTTAAAATTTTATCATACACAATTTTTGCTTTGAAAGCTATTTATTTGATCTTTGAAGTTAGACACACCAATCACTTTGCCATATATATATATATATATATATATATATATATATATATATATATATATATATATATATATATATATATATATATATATATATATATATATATATATATATATATATATATATATATATATATATATATATATATATATATATATATAAGAAATTTATGTTAGTTATTCGGCTTGTAAGTCAAAAACCGCTGGACTGATTTTGAAAATTTTTGGAATGGCCTCTTGCCAGAAAAGGATAAAATCTAAGAAAATATTTTTTAATCTTTTTATACCCTACAGGTCGCAAATATCTTCAGATTATCGCCAATTTTGCACGGAGGTAGGGTTAAGGTTAGACTAGAAACCTATTGTTAGGGGTTCAAATGTACCAAAAAAATAAAATTTAGCTGATTTTGTGGTCGCTTTAAAGGTCACAATTAAAAACCAATCGACACGGAATTTTGCATGAAGAGAGAGAGAGAGAGAGAGACAGAGAGTTAAGGACAAGGCAGACGTTTAGCATTTTAGAAATTGTTTTTTTTTATGTGAAATTGTTTTGAATACCAACCAGCACGATAGAGAGGGGTAAATATAAGGCAAATATCCCGGTCAAAAACCAAAGGTAACTTTTGTGCACACATTATTAAAAACAAGTAAGCAAAGGCTATAGTCGTGCGGGACCGACTACAATATGTTAGAAGCCCCCTTATGTCCAAATCCATATTAGAAGATTGCGCTTTTGAAATTAGGATTTTGACTAGGGACATTTGCCCAATATTTATGCACTCCGTCGGGCTGTTAATTGTTGTGGTCCGTTTTACAGCTAAATATAATCCAATGGTCATCCAAAATGCTAGAATTTTTCCCTGTCCTTAACTCTCTTCACAGGCGTGTCGATTGGCTTCAATTGTGTGATCGGAAAAACATTTCTGTTTTTGGTTAAATATTTTGCAATCATTTCCCAAAGGAAGAAGCCCCTCTGTATCTCCAAATTTAGACTCATCTATATGATTTGCTTGTCTACGAAGTTTGCCTTTTGTGTATTTCGGATATCGCATGTAAGTAATGCTGGTATTTTTTCACACAAAATTAGTGGTACATTGTACCCGCTGCCCTCAACTCTAACTTTATGCGAGATTTCGTGTCTTTGGTTTCTATTTGTGACCTTTATAACGGTTGCAAAATCAGGAAAATTTTTAGTTGTTGGTCAATTTCAACCCCTAATATATTGCGGACATCTTTGGAAACAATAGGCCTAGCCCTTCTGAGCCCAACCCTAACCCTGTGAAAATTTTCGTGAGGATCGGACGATATTTGCAATACTTATATAATATCCCCAACCTGTGTTCTAAGGTGAAAAAAATTACAAAATATTATAAGTCAAATTGAAAAAATCGCATGCGATAAAAAATATGAAAAAATAAACAGATGTCACAAAATACTACAAAATCTATATTAACATCATTATTGGCATAATTTTCTGCGATTTTTTACTTTTATGTCAAGAGGGCATTCTAAATTGACAAAATTTGTCAAAATCGGCAAAGCCATTCTTGAGATATAGGCATTCTAACTAACATCCCCTTCCTTTGTTTATATACGTTGTATATATTTCGCTATATATATCCGATATATTTACTATCGGCATCTACGTAACGGTCAGAATTGACCTGTTCGTCTATTTGTGATTTCTCCGGGATTAAAAATATTCGCGGTTTAATGGAAAATTTGACTTTTATTTAACACAAATGTTGTGTCCTATTTCACCCACTAAATATTACCTGATGACCATCAAAATTGGAAGGCTTCTGCCCAGCCCTAAGCTCTATCCCCATGCTAACTTCCGCTGTGATTGGTCTATAATTGCGACCTGTAGAGCAACTGCAAAATCAGGAATTTTTTCAGTTTTTGGTCTTCACTAATAATGCTGAAAGTGACATAAAAGTGGACCAAATTTTGTTCTCTGTTATGTTGCAGCCAAGTATGGGTACAGTTTTCTGGTAGAAAATGGATAAAACGTTAACTATAGATGGGTAAGTGAACAAACCCTATATATCTGTTAGTATGACCTAAAATCTTACGAATAATTTATTACCAAATTGTAAAAATGAATTAAAAAGACAAAATCAACTTTTTTGTTTAATAAGTTTTTTTCCTTGTTTCGTTTATTGTTTAAACTCAGTTAAGTCATTCGCGGTCCAAATCATTTACAACAAAACTGGAGCAGGAGCTGCGGCATAAGTCAAGGGAGCGCTGTAAGCCAAAGGAGCGGCATAGGCAGCAGCTACAGGAGCAGCAACGGGAGTAGTGTAGGCGGCAGCGACAGGGGCAGCAAAAGTCTTGGCAACGAGAGGAGCAGCAACAGTTTTGGCTACAACAGGGGCGGCAACAGGAGCAACAACTGGAGCAGTGGCAATACCATTGTAGTTACGGGCAACATATTGGCTACTGGTGGCAGTGACGACAGGAGCTGGAGCGGCGGCAACAACAGCTGCTGGGGCAGTGTAGGCAAAAGGAGCGCCAATCAAACCGGGCTTGGCAGCAGCACAAGCAATGACGGCAAAGATGACAACAGCCTGTGGGGAAAATATTGTTAAATTAAAAACGTCCATAATTTACTCCGCATTTTACAAACTTACGAATTTGAACATGGTGGAAAAGTTAGGTGATTTTGTGTCGATTTCTAGCTCAACAAAAGTGATAACTGATAACTTTATCGTTGTGACAACTCAAATTTATATTTCTGCTCGTAATATGGTTAACCTCACAATTTTCGGTGAATGCCAAAAGAATGCCCTTCAGATTCGTTCTTGAACGCACATTTGGACAATGCTCAACATTCAACGATAGCTGTTGTGTGGTCTATGGCTTCGACCGTTCTCTTCATTTGGTAGTCGATTTTATGAAATGTCGATATTATGAACTGTTTTGACCATATGTGTTCGGAATTTGTAATTAGTTCAGATACTTACTCGTATTGAAATAGTTATTCTAGTAATGGCGCACAACTCAATTGAATTTTGTTGTGATATATTTTCAATATTTTTGTTAATTCTACCCTGCACCATAGTATGGAGGGTATATTAAGTTTGTCGTTCCATTTGTAACACTTTGAAATATACTTTTTAGACCCCAAAAAGTATTCTTGATTAGCGCAATATTTATACCCTACAACACTATGTGTTGGGGGTATTATAAGTTTGATTGGGCCAGAATTTATGTAACACCTCGAAATATTGGTTTCCCACATAGGAAAGTATATATGGATCTTCCTATCTCGCCGAGTTGAGTCGATCTAGCTATGTATGTCCGTCCGTCCGTCTGTCCGCCTGTCCGTCTGTCCATGTTAATTTGTAATCACTCTACACTCTTCACGAAATTTAGAATAGAGGTGGGGCTAGGGTCAGAATAGAACCCTATTTCTTTTGGAGATGATCGCATAATATTTAGGGGTCGAAATGGACCAAAAACTGAAAAAATGTCGGATTTTGCAGTAGCTATACAGGTCGCAATTATAGACCAATCGACGCGGAACTTCGCATGTAGCAGAGTTTAGGGCGGGGAAGAAGCCTACCAATTTGGGTGGTCATCGGATAATATTTAGCGGGTAAAATAGACCATATCTTTTGTGTTGAAAAATTCAAAATTTTTCATTAAACCGCGAATATTTTAAATCCCGGCAAAATCACAAAGCCATGACAAGGTTACTTCTGATCTTGACATTGATGTTAAGATCTAACAAATCGAATATATAGCAAAATATGTGCGATATATATGTCTATCAAAGAAGATATGCTTGAAAGATCTCTTATATGTCGAAACGGCTGAACTGATTTCGACAGTTCTCATTAATTCAGAATGACTTCTTGTTAGGAAACAAAAAACGTCTAAAAAATCGCATAAAAATATCTCTCTAAAGATGAAAATATTGATTTTGTAAAATTTTCTCATATTTTTTCAATTTTGTCATATTTTTGGCATATTTTCATTTTGATTTAAACATTTGGTAATATTTCTACAGCTAACAAAACTAAGTAGTTAGGATATCAGGATATCATATACACATCGCATTTATGGCCCGATCCTTATGAAATTTTGCATGGGTATAAGATGAGGGTCAGAATAGAAGCCTACTCTTTTTGGAGATGATCGCCATATATTTAGGGGTTGAAATTGACCAAAAAACTGCAAAATTGTCAGCAGGTCGTAATTATTGCCCGATCCTCACGCGCATTTGAATGGGGGTTACCGGGCATTGCAAAAGCCAAGCAGTTTTGGATGGCCATCCAAAAATATTCAATGTGTGAAATAGTTTGCCAACTTTTGTAGACAAAATACGAAAATGGCCATTCCAGTGACTTTTTGGAGAATTCACAAATACAGGAAAGACACACTTCTGACTATTTCGTTAAGGCTGATTTCGTTGAAGAATATAGTCAAATGTCTGTATCTCATGTAGATGCGTTTCAGTCAAAAACCAATAATAAATGTTAATCTTTTGCCACTTCTGAGAGATTATAGGTCTTTGGGAAATATTGGTTCCAGATCTAGGAAGACCATTTAAGTGCAACATCCACCAATAAATTGGAAATGAGCAAATTAGTTAAATTTGCTATTATTCGAAAATTAGAGAACGAAACCTGATGGTTTTCTTTTATTATTTGTCGTAATATCTTGTGGAATTCTTTCGAGTATCTCGCCTATATAAACTGTATCGTTTATCATAGTGTTGTAGGGTATTCAACGGTCGGCCCCGCTCGACTGTAGCCTTTGCTTACTTGTCTATGTCGACTTAGCCATGTCTCTTGTGTTGTCCGTTTATGGAAATCACTCTAGCTTCAGAAGGAAATTAAGTAGGTTGACACAATTTAGTTGAGATGCATTTTCGGTATTTCCCTATATTTGGTATTTTGATGATTTTAAGTTTTCAAATATCGAATTGTTTTAAATTGCTTATTCGAAGTTTGTATGGATATGCATAAAAATTTCGTATGCATGTCCATGCCTTCGTTTAGCTCCTATATAACGGTACCTCCCGTTATTCGGTATTTTGTTGATTTTAGCGACGTTATTCACCGGAATTGGTTTAAGTTCGTAACGGGTATATGAGAATTGTTGCAAAAACCTTCAAAATACTGAAAATCTGGTCCACCAATAGATATGCGGGGCTATATCTTAAATAAAGTGGACTGTATCATGAATTCAACAGTAAGACGGATAAAATTTTACGCTGATCAAGAACTGAATAACAAACTCAATATACCCTCCATTGTATGGTGGAGGGTATACAAATTTGATCCGTCGTGGAGGAGGTACAAGAAGGAGTGATCCGTTATATCCATTTTGGCCAGTCAAGTTTGAACTAAATTGGAGTAGACTTTCTCCTTCTTTGAAAATGTTCATCTTTTGTGGGAAAACTATCGGAAGGAGTAGACATGAACTACCCATCTCCGAGCTCGATTTAAATTTGGTAAAAATATTTCGATGTACCAAGTGCGGACCAAATCGGATACTTTCATCGAGATCTATCATGCAGACAAAAAGACGGGCATGACTTGATCTACTCCAAATATCCTGAATCGGATTTGGCCCGAAGATACCTTGGATCTAAAAACATTATTTCGAAGAAACATATTTTGGCCGTGTAAAATTGATAAAGAGGGTGAGATAAAAAATGGCAACCAACTTCAGACTGCTGTCATTTCTAAGCCACTTGTCCGACAGCTGTTAAAATTATTCCAGTGACAGGTCATTATATTGTTTACAAGCTTACAAAAGCATTTCGGTGAGAATTTTCCAGGAAAAAGTTATTCGCGATGGAACTCAAACGTGGTGGTGTGATTTCTTTATATTTGGCTGGAAAACCACTATCGTTAGAGCACTCCAGCATTTAAATGTGAATAAATCTTTTATGTCTCATAACATCGCTAGCGTAGCCCGACGTCAAGGAAGTGGATGGAAGAAAACATCAACATCAGCAGAAATGGTTCGAAAAGTAAAGAAGCGACTTGATCGAAACCCGCGTTGCAGTGGCCGAAAAAGGGCTCGTGAGCTGAACATATCGCAATATTCTATTCGGCAAATATTGAAAAATGAGCTCGGGGTAAAGCCATTGAACTTCCAAAGGTACAAGAACTTACACCGCTAAAGAAAGAAAATAGACTCAAAAGAGCTAAAGAGTTGATCGCTTGGCCGAAAGTTGTGAACTGCCGAATTTGGTTTTTTCCGATGAGAAAACATTCGTTGTCCAGCAGTTTGTAAACAAACAAAATTATCGTGTTTACTTGCCAGTGAGGTCATCTGGCTACCTTCGGTTGACCACCAGAAATCCAGCGCCGGACATGGTCGCTCTCCGTATTAATCAACCATCAGGCATCAGAATAAATGCCGAATTTTATCGCACAAATATTCTGGAGGGTGTATTAAAGCCTTGGGAACGCAAACATTTTGGCCGCAGGCCTTGGACATTCCAACAGGACTCAGCACCATCGCACTCAACACGCGCCACCCAAGAATGGTTACAAAAAGAGGTTCCTCGCTTCATTTATAGCGCGCAATGGCCACCAAAATCTACGGATACCAATCCGTTGGACTATTATGTCCGGAGTATTTTGGAAAGCAAGGTTGACACTAAAAAATACCAAAGTATCGATAACCTCAACCAGCGCTTCGCGGGGAATGGGCCCAAATACAAATACAGTCCATAATTTGTGCCAAAGGTGACCAATTCGAACAAATCTTAACTTATTCTAAAATTCGATGCTATTTCCGACATTTTTTGCTTTCATTCAATAACATTAAAAAAATGTAAAAAATTATACCGTTTGACTTTGTTGCAGTTTTTTTATCTCTCCCTGAATATCCACTGAGGGTTGAGGGGTTTGAACGGTGTCACATAATGAAAATGGAGTACCGTGAATAGAGAAAATGAACACCATATTTTTCGATAATTTCCAAAAACAAAAAACTTCTTAAATTCAGAGATTAAAATATACTGGTCCAGACTTCCTGTTGCTTCCCCCAGCTAAAAACTTTGAAGTCTTATATTAGGGTAGCTCTTTGTGCGTATAAGGAAATAAAACACAATTTTTTGAAACTCGTACCAGAAGAAGATTGCGGAAACACTAAAAGTACGGCGAGAGGTACTAGTAGGGTGTGAGGTATTAAAGCATCTTTTAAATAAGCAGATCTTATATAGCTAGTATTTCACACAAATCTATTAGAAAATGTGGCTTAAATCTTCAAAATGCCGAATATCCGTTGGAACAAATCCGTAGAAAAATGTGGGTAAAACCATAAAAATACCGAATATCGGGAGATACCGGTATACGGGGGCTATACGAAAACGTTCACCTATGTATACAATGGAGGTAGAACCCACCACGAACTACAAATACCAATTTATGGACAAATTGGAGGTAATATGTGGCTAAAGCTATAAAAATATCGAATATTTAGAGGTACCGTTATATGGGGGGCTATCCCATCATCATTTTTAATACCAACCATTCTAGACACAAAACAAATAATGGCGCGATTTCAACAGACAGACGAACATCGTTAAATCGACTTAGAATTCTATGCTGATCATGAATATATATATATATATATATCTATATATATAAAAGAAAGTTGTGTTAGTTACTACGCTTATAACTTAAGAACCGCTGGACTGATTTTAACGATTCATACAAATTCGGAATTGTCTCCTGTCCGAAAAGGATAATATCCAAAAAAATCGCGCAAAAATGTGATATATTAACATTTTAATTTTGACTTTTGAAATGTACAATAGTAATGTTTTATTTTGCATGATTTTTTTTTCATTTTGACTTACTTTTTTCTAATGTACATTTGTATTGTTTTTTATTATATTTTATTTTTGAATTCGAATATTAATATCAATTTACTTAATTGATTTGATTTCTTGAGAACTGATATTGATGGCGGGTTACATGGAAGTGTATCGAAATAATTTAACGCGATCACGCGATTAAAAGATAATTACTTTTTTCAAAATCGCTAAAAAATCACGAAAAGAGATCTCATTGCAAAAAATCTCAAATCGGGAAAAAATTGAAAAAAAATTTCAATGGAATCGAATTTTAAAATAATAGTACATTCTATTGACAAATTTTGTAAGGATCTTTAAACATTTGTATTAAAAAATCAGCGAACAAGTTGAAGTTTTTTTAAATTTGTTATTCTTCTTTTGTCAATTTTTTTCAATGTTTATTATCATATTGAATTCAGTGAATTTTTTGTGAGCAAAATAAGGAATAATTTTTCACTATATACAATTTTTCACAAAAAAAAAAATGAAATTAGTGCGAAATAGGATGTTAACTGACATCTACCTTTCAACTCCAGGGCCTACATCGTGGTTCAGATGGAAGATGCGAACACATTTAAACAAACAAAAATGACCGAAAAAGCCTAATAGGGCTCATTTCAAAGCGTGGACCTACTTCTTTTATGTGACAATAACCCGTCCAGTGAGAGCTTAAAATGCTAAAGTAGCCTAAATACAGCAAAATCGATTGGAAATGTGGTCAAGACCCTCGAAATAAAAAAGCCAAGATGCCAAATAATGAAATCAGGAATACATTCATATGAAGGTTATACCAAAACGTGGCCCAACCAATATTCTCTTGGGGGTTACAAATTCAATAGAATACAAAATTTTCTTTTCTGACCACACATTAGATCTGAAAGTGGACTTGGGGATACTCCAATGTGGGGACTTTACTTAAATAAATTCCTATGTGGCAATTATCTGTATGATGGTTCCTTACCCAAGGGTAGCATAAATACAATTTTTTAGCCAAATCAATTGTTAATGTGGTCAAGACCAAAATGGGCCCTACTATGAAAATTTCCAATTTTATGCGAAGAGGTTCTCTACCCGCTTACAAACAAAGATGCCAAATAAGGGTCAAAATATGAAAAAAGAGGCCAAGACCCCAAAATAGCTGAAATCATACGATGGTTATATAAATATGAGTTCTGATTGATATCATGACCTGCAAAAGCGATTTAAGGTATCGTGAATGTTTGGGAAGGATTTCTGGAAGGATAGAAATCCTTTCCTTACTAAAAGTCCCATTCGCTTTACTATTTTGCACCCTTTAAATTTGGTATTTTACTGATTGTAAACTCCCAAAGAAATTAGCATTTTAAGCTCTCACTGGACGGGTTATTGTCACATAAAAGAAGTAGGTCCACGCTTTGAAATGAGCCCTATTAGGCTTTTTCGGTCATTTTTGTTTGTTTAAATGTGTTCGCATCTTCCATCTGAACCACGATGTAGGCCCTGGAGTTGAAAGGTAGATGTCAGTTAACATCCTATTTCGCACTAATTTCATTTTTTTTTTGTGAAAAATTGTATATAGTGAAAAATTATTCCTTATTTTGCTCACAAAAAATTCACTGAATTCAATATGATAATAAACATTGAAAAAAATTGACAAAAGAAGAATAACAAATTTAAAAAAACTTCAACTTGTTCGCTGATTTTTTAATACAAATGTTTAAAGATCCTTACAAAATTTGTCAATAGAATGTACTATTATTTTAAAATTCGATTTCATTGAAATTTTTTTTCAATTTTTTCCCGATTTGAGATTTTTTGCAATGAGATCTCTTTTCGTGATTTTTTAGCGATTTTGAAAAAAGGAATTATCTTTTAATCGCGTGATCGCGTTAAATTATTTCGATACACTTCTATGTAACCCGCCATCAATATCAGTTCTCAAGAAATCAAATCAATTAAGTAAATTGATATTAATATTCGAATTCAAAAATAAAATATAATAAAAAACAATACAAATGTACATTAGAAAAAAGTAAGTCAAAATGGAAAAAAAATCATGCAAAATAAAACATTACTATTGTACATTTCAAAAGTCAAAATTAAAATGTTAATATATCACATTTTTGCGCGATTTTTTTGGATATTATCCTTTTCGGACAGGAGACAATTCCGAATTTGTATGAATCGTTAAAATCAGTCCAGCGGTTCTTAAGTTATAAGCGTAGTAACTAACACAACTTTCTTTTATATATATAGATATAGATATATATATATATATATATATATATATATATATATATATATATATATATATATATATATATAGATATATATATATATATATATATATATATATATATATATATATATATATATATATATATATATAGGGTACCAAACCCGAATTTGCCCACGATTTTGTGCAGTCCCAATCTACAGAAATTTTTAAACGTCAATTGAAAACACACATTTTTTGAAAATATATCATCCAAGTTTGTCAGTGAATGATGTAGGGTGTCCACAACATGATTTCCCTCTCGATAAATGTATATACGCCAGCATACAAAGAGCTTTATATTTAAATCATCCTCAAAACATCAACTAAATTTTAAATGAAATATGCAATGCAATTCATACTCATTCACAAAAATTTCCGAAATTGCTCATAAATTCGCTACGGAAATGTGTGTAGGACACTCTCATTGGCATTTGGTTGGCATTTTGAAATCAAATCACGTTTCTCTTTATTTGGTCGAACTATTCAAACTATCGATTTCATTGTAGCTGAGGTGGCTATAAAACCGACGATATTCTTGGCTACTGTATTCAGTTTTCTGATCACCAATCAAAACTAAACAACTCCCACACAACCCAAAAAAAAAACTAAAATGGCCAAATTCGTAAGAAAACCCAAAAGTCGAAAAGGAAACAAACAAAATAAACAAATATATTTTTCAAATTTTAGATCATTGTCTTGTGCGCTTTGGTTGCCTGCGCTGCTGCTAAGCCCGGTGTTGTCGCCCCATTGGCATACACTGCTCCCGTAGCTGCCGCCTACACCGCCCCAGTAGCTGCTGCTTATGCCGCTCCTTATGCTGCTGCCTATGCCGCTCCTTATGCTGCCGCCTACACCGCTGCTGCTTACACTGCTCCCGTTGCCGCTCCATTGGCCTACACTGCTCCCGCTGCCGTTGCTGCTCCTTTAGCTTATGCTAACGCTCCTTTGGATGCCGCTTACGCCAGCAGCCGTGTTGACATCAAACAAAACTATAATGCCGCTGTTGTCCCTGCCACCTATGCTGCCGCTCCTGTTGCCGCTGCCGTTGCTCCAGTTGCTGCCCCAGTTGCCCCACTTAAATACACCGCTGCCCCCGTTCTGTTGTAAGGAGTGTTTGAGTTTGATTGGTTTGCCAATAAAGAAAATATTTGTGATATAAATTTTAATTCATAAAATTGCTTTGATTTTTCTCCTTCTAAGTCCGCAATATTAAAAACTCCGAAAACTCAATATTTAAGGAGTTATTGCTATTTTAAAGTATTCAATAATTCATGTCTGAAAAAGTGATAACAAATAATAGCTAAAAACACCGAAAACTCAATATTTAGGGAGTTATGGCCATTTTAAAGTATTCAATAATTCATGCCTAAAAACGCCGACAACTCTATATATAAGGAGTAATGGCCATTTAAAGTAGTCAAAAATGCATGCCTAAAAAAAGTGATCACAAATAATAGCTAAAAACGCCGAAAACTCAATATTTAAGGAGTTATGGCCATTTTAAAGTATTCAATAATTCATGCCTGAAAAAGTGATCACAATTATTGGCTAAAAACGCCGAAAACTCAATATTTAAGGAGTTATGGCCATTTTAAAGTATTCAATAATTCATGCTTAAAAAAGTGTTCACAAATAATAGCTAAAAATACCGAAAACTCAATATTTAAGGAGTTATGGCCATTTTAAAGTATTCAATAATTCATGCCTAAAAAGTGATCACAAATAATAGCTAAAAACGCCGAAAACTCAATATTTAAGGAGTTATGACCATTTTAAAGTATTCAATAATTCATCCCCAAAAACGTGATCACAAATAATAGCTAAAAACGCCGAAAACTCAATACTTAAGGAGTTATGGCCATTTCAAAGTATTCAATAATTTATGCTTATAAAAGTGATCGCAAATAAAAGCTAAAAACGCCGAAAACTCAATATTTAAGGAGTTATGGCCATTTTAAAGTATTCAATAATTCATGCCTAAAAACGTGATCACAAATAATAGCCAAAAACGCCGAAAACTCAATATTTAAGGAGTTACGGCCATTTTAAAGTATTCAATAATTCATGCCTAAAAAAGTGATCACAAATAATAGCCAAAAACTCAATATTTAAGGAGTTAAGGCCATTCTAAAGTATTCAACTATTCATGCTTATAAAAGCGATCACAAATAATAGCTAAAAACGCCGAAAACTCAATATTTAAGGAGTTACGACCATTTTAAAGTATTCAATAATTCATGCTTATAAAAGTGATCACAAATAATAGCCGAAAACGCCGAATACTCAATATTTAAGGAGTTATGGACATTAAAAAAAAATAGCTAACAAGTATAGACCCTAATATTCGTTATTTTTAAGATTTTAAAGGAACGGCTGAACTTACAAACGGCTGAACTTACATCCTGTTTACTTGTTGAAATTTTTCACATTAACACTATTCAGAATTAAAATAATGCAAAAAAAATAAAAAGATTTATGCCATAAATTGAGGAATCTTAAGAAACATATTGATAAATGTGAATATTTTAGAATGAGTAAAGTTATGCGTGACACTGTACTGCATTTTATTGACATTATTTTGTCTTATTTACATTACATACATAAATTTTAAACTATCACTACTTACAATATGTGGATATTGTTTAATTGTATTTGTTGTAACTTTGTCGATTACCTTCTAATAATTCCAACGCGATTGCTAATAAACAACATTATTTTGAAGCCGTGCAAAGTTCCTTAATTTTTCTTCCTCATTTTCTTGACTTCATACAATTCTGCATAATATTCCACTCGGCCAATGTAATCCAAGGGATATCCTTCGTAGAAAATGAAAATGCACTTATAATAACCTTTAGGGAATAAGGCAGACATTGAATTTCCACCAAAAAATAAATTCTTTGCAATTATGACGCCCTGAAAAGATGAAATTTGGTCACAAATACAATTTTATTCAAATTAGCAAAACAATTACAACCAAACCTCATAGGGACATGAATGATTTATATTAGTGTACTGGGCCATGATATCCATGAATACTTTCATATAGGTTCCGAATCGTCGGTTTCCCAAGTACCAGCAAATGTTTTGAGTAAAATTGATTAGAAATGGATTATAGGTGTTGACATCATTGCGTGCATAGAGCCCAATATTGACCTGTATTTTTGAATAATTTGCAATTATATAATAACATAAATTGGAATACGTTACTGTTCATAAATACTTACGTATACATTTCGCAATTGATTTCTGATGTACGTTTCCATAAAGGCTACGCTTTTGTAGCGATTTACGGGCTTCAGACGACACGAGTGGTTAATAAAATATTTTGGACTTGGGGCACATATTAGATTTGTGGCCTTTATGATAACGTCTGTGTACATAAACTGGAAAGAAAAATATATTTGAAATTATTTTAGTGGATTATAATAGTGATAAATGACTTACTCCAATTATGTTTAAGCTTACTATTAAAAATATAAATTTGGTTGAGTCGTGCATTTCTATCTAAAATAAATTAATAAATATATTTTTTGGATAAAATGTTTTGTTTTTTTTTATTTATTAGATTCTGTGAAATTCTTTTAAATCTATTTTACTTTCATAACGATAATACATGGTAAATTAAATCACTGTTATATGTATATACAAAAAAAAACGAGGATTCGGAGATGAATGTAAACGTTTGAGCTACAACGAATTCTTTATAATCTTCTTTCACAATGATGTCAATCCATTTCGAAAAGTTTCTTCTCCAAACACTCCAAGTGGAACGTTACTCACAGAATTTAATTAATATTGAAAAAATCTAGTATTTTGAAGCTTATATTGTTTGCTAAATGTTTTGCAATTAAATAAAAAACAAGTTAAAAAGCAGTAAGTCCGGCCGGGCAGAACCTTGAATACCCTCCATCATTTGGAACAAATTTGGAAATTTTCAAAAAATAAAATCGTTAAAAAATTATGTTAAAATTCTGTTAACATTTTAAAAATACCGAATATAGTCGTTATATTGGGGTCTATACGACGTGGACCTACAAAGGCATTCTTTGTCATAAGCCATTACCATAGTTAAATTCGAAACTTGAAATAAACGGTGAAGCTAAAATCATCAAAATATGGTACAGAGGGAGGTACCGTTATATCGGAGCTGTGCGAAGACCTGCACCTACATAGACAATTTTCTGTCACAGGCTGTAGCATCCAATACGAACTTCAAATACGACAACTCAAACAATTTCGGTGGGTATTGTAGCTAAAATCGTCAAAATACCGAATATCGGGAGGTACTGATGTATGGGGCCTATACGAAGACCTGGATCTGTAAAGACAATTTTCTGTCACAGACTGTAGTTCCCATTACGAACTCTAAATACGTAATTTGAAACAATTCTGGTGAAATGACGCTAAAATCATCAAAATACCTAAAATTAGGAGGTACCATTATATGGGGGCTATACGAAGACGTGGACCTACACAGACAATTTTCCGTCATAGGCTGAAGTATCCACTACGAACTTCAAATACCAAATTTGAAACAATTCCGTTAAATAGTGTGGATAAAATCATCAAAATACCGAATATCGGGAGGTACCGTTATATGGGGGCTATATGAAAACGTTGACCTACATGGCCCAATTATGAACTTAACCTGCCTACTGGAAAAATAAACATGTATGTAAAATTGTAGCCTTCTATCTCAATTCGTTCGAAAGATAGCGTGATTACAACAGACAGACAGACGGACATCGCTAAATCGACATAGAATTTTACGCTGATCAAGAATACATATACTTTATTGGGTCTGACATGAATATTTCGAGGAGTTACAAACGGAATGACGAAATTAATATACCCTCCATAGTATGGTGGATGGTATAAAAATCAATTAAAAAAACAATTGCTGGTTCAATTTTGTTTTCACACACCAGTTGAAACAATTATATGAGTTCAATTACTCAGCAATAATTTGGCAGGTTCACCCAGCCTTTTATACCCTCCACCATACTATGGAGGGTACATTAATTTTGTCATTCCGTTTGTAACTCCTCGAAATACTATGTCAGACCCAACAAAGTATATATATTCTTGATCAGCGTAAAATTCTAAGACGATTTAGCCATGTCCGTCTGTCTGTCTGTTGTAATCACGCTATCTTTCGAACAAATTGAGGTAGAAGGCTAAAATTTGGCACACATGTATATTTTGCCAGTAGGCAGGTTAAGTTCGTAAATGTAGGTCCAAGTTATCATATAGCCCCCATATAACGGTACCGGAATCGTTTCAAATTTGGTATTTGAAGTTTGTAATTGATACTTCATCCTAAGTCAAAAAATGAGCCATATAGGTCCACGTCTTCATATAGCCCCCATATAACGGTACCCCCCGATATTCGGTATTTTGATTATTTGAGCGACATTGTTTACCGCAATCCTTTCAAATTTGGTATTTGAAGTTTGTAGTGGATACTTCATCATAAGTCAAAAAAATGAGCCATGTAGGTCCACGTCTTCATATAGAACCCATATAACGGTACCCCCCGATATTCGGTATTTTGATGATTTTAGCGACATTATTGGCCGGAATTGTTTCAAATTTTGTTTCATTTGAAGTTCGTAATGGATACTGCAGCCCATGTCAGAACATTTTTTCTTCAAGTTCACTTGAAGCGATCATAAATAATAGCTAAAAACGCCGAAAACTCAATGTTTAGGGAGTTATGGCGCTTTTAAAGTATTCCATAATTCATGCTTATAAAAGTGAACACAAATAATAGCTAACACCGCCGAAAACTCATTATTTCAGGAGTTATGGGCATTTTAAAGTATTCAATAACTCATGCCTATACAAGTGATCACAAATAATAGCTAAAAATGCCGAAAACTCAATATTTAAGGAGTTATGGCCACTTTAAAGTATTCAATTATTCATGCCTAAAAAAATGATCACAAATAAAAGCTAAAAACGCCGAAAACTCAATATTTAAGGAGATATGGCCATTTTAAAGTAATCAATAATTCTTGTCTAAAAAAGTGATCACAAATAATAGCTAAAAACGCCGAAAACTCAATATTTAAGGAGCTGTGCCCATTTTAAAGTATTCAATAATTCATGCCTAAAAAAGTGATCACAAATAATAGCTAAAAACGCCGAAAACTCAATATTTAAGGAGTTATGGCCATTTTAAAGTATTCACATTCATGCCTGAAAAGGTGATCACAAATAATAGCTAAAAACGCCGAAAACTCAATATTTAATGAGTTATGGCCATTTTAAAGTATTCAAAAATTCATGCCTTAAAAAAGTAATCACAAATAATAGCTAAAAACGCCGAAAACTCAATATTTAAGGAGTTATGGCCATTTTAAAGTATTATGTAAATCATGCTTATAAAAGTTATCACAAACAATAGCTACAAGCGCCGAAAACTCAATATTTTAGGAGTTATGGCCATTTTAAAGTATTCAATAATTCATGCTTATAAAAGTGATCACAAATAATAGCTAAAAACGCCGAAAACTCAATATTTAAGGAGTTATGACCATTTTAAAGTATTCAATAATTCATGCTTATAAAAGTGATCACAAACAATAGCTAAAAGCGCCGAAAACTCAATATTTTAGGAGTTATGGCCATTTTAAAGTATTAAATTATTCATGCCAGGAAAAGTGATCACAAATAATAACTAGAAACGCCGAAAACTCAATATTTTAGGAGTTATGGCCATTTTAAAGTATTCAATAATTCATGCTTATAAAAGTGATCACAAATAATAGCTAAAAACGCCGAAAATTCAATATTTAAGGAGTTATGGCCATTTTAAAGTATTAAATTATTCATGCCAGGAAAAGTGATCACAAATAATAACTAGAAACGCCGAAAACTCAATATTTAAGGAGTTATGGCCATTTTAAAGTATTCAATAATTCATGCCCATTCAGTGATCAAAAATAATAGCTAAAAACGCCGAAAACTCATTATTTAAGGAGTTATGACCATTTTAAAGTATTCAATAATTCATGCCCATTCATTGATCAAAAATAATAGCTAAAAACGCCGAAAACTCAATATTTAAGGAGTTATGGCCATTTTAAAGTATTCAATAATTCATGATTATAAAAGTGATCACAAATAATAGCCAAAACCGCCGAAAACTCGATATTTAAGGAGTTATGGCCATTTTAAAGTATTCAATAATTCATGCTTATAAAAGTGATCACAAATAATTGCCAAAAACGCCGAAAACTCAATATTTAAGGAGTTATGGCCATTTTAAAGTATTCAATAATTCATGCTTATAAAAGTGATCACAAATAATAGCTAAAAACGCCGAAAACTCAATATTTAAGGAGTTATGACCATTTTAAAGTATTCAATAATTCATGCTTATAAAAGTGATCACAAATAATAGCTAAAAACGCCGAAAACTCAATATTTAAGGAGTTATGGCCATTTTAAAGTATTCAATAATTCATGCTTATAAAAGTGATCACAAATAATAGCTAAAAACGCCGAAAACTCAATATTTAAGGAGTTATGGCCATTTTAAAGTATTCAATAATTCATGCTTATAAAAGTGATCACAAATAATAGCTAAAAACGCCGAAAACTCAATATTTAAGGAGTTATGGCCATTTTAAAGTATTCAATAATTCATGCTTATTAAAGTGATCAGAAATAATAGCTAAAAACGCCGAAAACTCAATATTTAAGGAGTTATGGCCATTTTAAAGTATTCAATAATTCATGCTTATAAAAGTGATCACAAATAATAGCTAAAAACGCCGAAAACTCAATATTTTAGGAATTATGGCCATTTTAAAGTATTCAATAATTCATGCTTATAAAAGTGATCACAAATAATAGCCAAAAACGCCGAAAACTCAATATTTAAGAAGTTATGGCCATTTTAAATTATTTAATAATTCATGCCAGGAAAAGTGATCACAAATAATAGCTAAAAACGCCGAAGACTCAATATTTAATGAGTTATGGCCATTTTAAAGTATTCAATAATTCATGCCAGGAAAAGTGATCACAAATAATAACTAAACGCGGCGAAAACTCAATATTTAAGGAGTTATGGCCATTTTAAAGTATTCAATAATTCATGCTTATAAAAGTGATCACAAATAATAGCCAAATACGCCGAAAACTCAATATTTAAGGAGTTATGGCCATTTTAAAGTATTCAATAATTCATGCTTATAAAAGTGATCACAAATAATAGCTAAAAACGCCGAAATCTCAACATTTAATGAGTTATGGCCATTTTAAAGTATTCAATAGTTCATGCTTATAAAAGTGATCACAAATAATAGCCAAAAACGCCGAACTCTTTATTTAAGGAGTTATGGTCATTTTAAAGTATTCAATAATTCATGCTTATAAAAGTGATCACAAATAATAGCTAAAAACGCCGAAAACTCAATATTTAAGGAGTTATGGCCATTTTAAAGTATTCAATAATTTATGCCTAAAAAAGTGATCACAAAGAATAGCTAAAAACGCCGAAAACTCAATATTTAAGGAGTTATGGCCATTTTAAAGTATTCAATAATTCATGCTTATAAAAGTGATCACAAATAATAGCCAAAAACGCCGAAAACTCAATATTTAAGGAGTTATGGCCATTTTAAAGTATTCAATAATTCATGTTTACTAAAGTGATCACAAATAATAGCTAAAAACGCCAAAAACTCAATATTTAAGGAGTTATGGCCATTTTAAAGCATTCAATAATTCATGGCTTAA